TTTACAATTCTCTTCATTTACAGCTGATAGCAATACACTTCTGAGCTTTATTTAAAGAGAAAAGTTAGCATCCTTGAAATTATTTAACTCGTACGGTTGCCTTTCATTTGCCAATTTCTGCGAACAGCCTTTTTCATGCTACATCCCTTGAAATCAGGGCTCTCTACGCATTCATTTTTCTTTCTGTAAACCTGTCATGAATCCCTGAGAAAGATAGTTGGATAGGAAAGGCCCAAGAGCCCGGTCTACCCTGCTACTTAACTCTTAGCTGAAAATGGGGAGATATATTCCTGCTTTTCTCGAGGGAATTAGTGAAAAAGTGAACGCAACAGGTAAGGCTAGATCTTGAACTCAGCTTTTCGATTCCACTTTCGGCGCCGATGACCGTTACGCCGCTTTTCCGAAAGACAGCCAAATAGTACTGATAATTATAAAATTATATAGTAGGGTAATAGCTTTTAAAATTGTATATGAAATCAGCTTTGGAGTAAGGTTAAAAGAAATGGAAATACTCCTTTTACACTTTAAAAGTATCTGAAATGTTGTAATGAATTATTGTTAATTAGCCGAATATCAGCATTCTTATTGTTTCTGTCATTTGTTCTTGTACTATACATTTGATGAAGGCCTAAGATTACATCATCCAGAGCGCAGTGTGTGTGTGTGGTTGTTTTTTTTTTTTTTTTTTAATCAAACTGATTCGAAATAAACGAATATATTTTTTGTATTCTGTTGTTCAACGACTTTGGTATTGAGATTGGAAAGAAATCGTCATAATAGAGAAAATACGCCAAAAATGTGGATATGAAACAATGGCTTGATTTTCAAACGTTTTAGTAAATGGAATAAAAAACAAAGATTGGAAGAAAGTAATTTAAAACTTAAACAGGAGGAAGAAGTATAAAAAAAATGGTCTTTTAAATGTAAGAAACATCTCTAGAAAGAATTTTTTTTTCAGGAAGAGACCGTCATCAGAATATTGATAAAGTATTTATAATCTAAAACACAGAAAAGTATCGTTAGAGAGAGAATAAAAACGCGTTGAATTGTTACATATTTACTATAGATGGTAGTGGCAATCTTCACACAGATGGAAAAAAAAATTACTTGTAGCGACAGAAGTGGTCCTAACGACGAATGCTGAGAATACAAAGGACATGGCACGTGGAAGTTTTGAGAAAATAAGAACTATAAAGATACTTAGAATAAAAAGAGGCAGTTTAATTTCTGGGATGCACAAGGAAAAAGAGCCTAGAAAATTTAACACTCATAGAAACAAAGGGATGATGATGTGTCAAAACTTAGAGCAGCAAAAGACAAGAAGTTGTGGAGAGCCATAATCGCTATCGTTTTGAACTGATTGAACACAAAAAATGTATGTATCCCTCTATCCATCCGCTTAAGGTTAGATTCGAAAAGAACACTTAACTAATGATGAAGTGAAAAAAATCTGGTATTAGTAGAGCATGTCGAGTGTAGAAGAGCCCACTTCATCTTTTCCGGGATTAGCTCCGGAGTCAGGTAACATCGTTGAGAAATGAGGAAGATGAAAAAGGTGGACAAAATTGATTTGTTAAACTCGTGCGAATTTCAATACAAGTGGATTTTATGTAACTCTCCGATATAATTTGAGATCCTTTGGGTACTTACTGTGCCTGCTGCTAAAATGCATTGGTCAAGCTTTATTCTTTTACGCTGATTCAGTATTTTTTTATTTTTTTTCAAATTGGTCAATATAAACGAATTTTGAAAGTTAAAATACACAAAATTTAAACTAAATATAAGGTTTGGTGTTTAAGATTTTAGCTGTGTATGTGTGGTGTAATGGATAACGGCCTGGAATGAGAAATCTGAGAACCAGGTTCGAATTCTGGTCGTGTTCGTTGTATACCTGCAAATACCCTAGGAAAAAGTATGGAACCATCTCCTCCCACCGGTTATTGGTTAAATAGTAGGATTTGTCTCGGGGCGGAGGGGGGGAATCATTATTTCCAAAAAATTGTTAATGTAATGTTTTAATTACTCTGTATAAAAAAAGAAAATTTATTCTTGCAATCCAAAATCTATTGATTTTAAATAACGCACAAACGGTTGATAAGCCGTAAAATAAATAATACTTTAACTCGCTTCTCGTGTTTTTATTTTTTTTAAAACTTAAATCCAAGTTTTTAACTTAACCCGCCACATAACTTTACTAACTTTTAGTACAAAAATGTAAGGGGGTGGGTAGGTTTTTTGTTTTTTTTTTAAGCACGAAAACCTTTTTAGTTTCAAAAATATGAGGCTAAGTAATTTTTTTTTTTCTTTCACACAAAAAATATTGATATATTTAAGAAAAAATGAGGCGGGGTGAAATTTTAGCACTAAAATCGTTGATTTCGTTTAAAATAGCATGTTTTAGCCTTCAGAATTGGTCTGAATTGATCATTTTTTAAAATTTATTGAGGTGACACAAAAGAGAAATATTCGTATCCAGTTTTTCATACCTTTTGAAAAGTTTTTTTCCACTCGCTGAATACTATTGAAGGCTGAAGAATGGCTTGGCTGAAATCTTTTGTTAACAACAGCAAGCATACGAAGAAAGGGATGACTTGTTAAAAGGTATGTTTAATGATTTTTTTTTTTTTTTTAAAGTTATAGATAATTTCTTTCGTATTACTAACGGTAGCAGAAAGCAACTGACTTGTTACCAGAGTGCTTTTGAGTATATGATTTTTGCCCGTTCACCTTGGTGATGGGTCTGGCATTAAGCAAGCAGTAGTTATTGGCAATAATGAAAAAGCTTCCAAAGATCTTGCATCTTTTTAATCTTTAAAATCTGTCAAATTATGATAAGCCTTGTCGATTACGTTAAAAATCAATAACCAGCAGTGAATCCTTCAAATGTAGTTTAAGAGCTACGCTTCACTTTGCCCAGTTTTACTTCCATATCAATTTATTTACAGCGGACGTGGCTAACCACTCGTTAGAACGTTCGCGTTCCGACCATGTGTCGATTAACCAGGAGGGTGACGACGTGTGTCACCTTTTGGAAAGTTTCCTGAAAACAATACTACTGGCTAACCGAAGACTTGCGTGTGAAATTTGATAGACGGAACTATTTGGGAGCTGCCGGTGGTTGTGCTAGCACGAAGTTACAAGTCATCGTGACCGAGGGGTGAAGCGTACTGGCCTTGTTCAGACTGTTGATCACGACAAATAGTACGCTCTCTTCCAGAAACTGTAACTAGGGTCCGTTCAGCATAGTTGCACTATAAACCACTGGTGGGCTGTGTGGGTGTTGAACAAATACAAATATACCTGGACAAGCGTTTGCAGCATGAACTGACTAGCCGCCCTAGTAGACAGCCACCATTTACAGAGTTTCATATCACGTTGAAACACCGGTTTTCGTACGATCAGTAACTAGGTGTTTGACGGCTTGGGAATACCAGGTGCTGTAAGCTAAGAATTGGACAGACAGGTTCCAATTATAGTTGGAGTCGTATATTAAATTACGCTCAAATACCCCTGTGAAAGGTAGAAATCTACTTCTTCCCCCAACTATGGGTTAAATAGTAGGACGTGTATCAGTAAATCATTATTACCCCTAAAAAATTAATTTAAAACTATTTTCTGCCTTTAAATAACCTATAAAAGTTTCATAAGCCGAAAAAAAACTGATCAATCCATCAAATTATTTACACTCCTACGTAAGTCTTAATTTATCTCTTTCGACAAAACTTAACTCGTATCAGTTAAGTCTGTCTACTTATCTCCTGGCATAGCAGAATGAAGACAATTTATCAACGTGGATTTAATTGGTTCGATACGAAATTCCAAGAAGATTACCAACCATGACAGCTGAAAATTCGAAATGCGATAATAAGAGCAAAAATAAGAACGCTCGCTCGAGCAAGTCGGTATCTAACCGTCCTAAGTTGCCTGGATTTTATTAACTTCTCTCGCACGGTTTTCGTTTGCAAACGGAGATCTTGCATTATAAGTGTCCTCCATATAGTCATAAGACCTCGGAGAGCATCTCTCACAAAATATTTACAATGCCAAGCAATGCGGACTTCTGAAGCTTTGAGATACTAAGCTTTATTCCGATTTTCTCAACGTTGGATTAATTTCGAGGATATAAACTGTCAGTTTACGGCCTTATCACGTTTTAAACACAGGTTTTCGTCCAATCACCGAAGTTGAGACTTGGTCAGTACCTAAATGGGTGGACGCTTGGGAATAAAATGTGCTGTAAGCTTGGATATACGGGTAATGTAATGGATAACGGCTCGGAATTAGAGAGTCGAGTTCGTTACATTGACCTACGCGCAAAAGTAATAAAAGTATAAATCCATATTTACTCATCCTAGCTATGGATTAAATAGCATCATCGCAGACTGGGACATATAGCCTTGGTTGGCAACCAGTCTGCTGCAGAAATTCTTCTATTCTACCAAGACAGTCATGAATCGAAAAGAGAAATGCTCACCCAAGCGTGTATTACTCATGGCATCTAAGGAAGAAAGAATATACACGCCCCCATACCTCAATGATAACTTCAATTTTATTGTGTTATCAAGGTTAAGTGACAATTCAAATCTCATTGATGGTGGGGGGGTCTTCTTTATTTCTGAAATATGCTACTTAAATGTCGTAGGAAAACAGCAAAAGGGAAAAATAATTTAATGACACTGCCGAGTGTTAGTATATCTAATTGTTATTAGATGAGGCATTGTTTTGATTCGTTTTTACGGCCTATCAACCCATTGCGGGTTATTTAAAGCCAGAAAATATTTTTAGACCGTAAGAATTTTTTTTTATATTTTTTAGATGATAATGATTTGGTTATATAATTCTTACTAATTAACCCATAACTGGGGATAGAAGCGGTGGATTTATGCTTTTCCCAAGGGTATTTGCGCGTAAGTGAATATAACGTATCAACTGAAATTGAAACTTTGCTCTCCGATTAACAATTCCGAGCCATTATCCATTGCACCACCTGCACATTTAAGTTACAGCACCTGGTATTCCCAAGCAGTCCCCCATCTAGGTACTAACCAGGCTCGAGGTTGTTTAACTTCGATGTTCATATGGAAGTCGGTGTTTCAACGAGATGAAGCATTGTCAACTATTATCATTTAACTCATCTTAATTTCCCTCGTTATCACAACAGCTCACCTGAATTGTCAAAAGTCGTTATCTAAACCTTCGTGCCCACCTGATAAGGTAACCAGTCCGCTAAAATTGAACGATTTATTCGCGATCCGCGAGATCTACTGACGTAAAATGGTGATCTGAGGATATGAGTTGGCGATAAAAAAAAAGCAACTAAATTAAGTTTAGTATACGAGACAGAAAATGAATAACGGTTGACCAATTTAAAACTACTAGGTCGACTAATATTATAAGCAGTAAAATTAAGAGATAATAAACACCAAAGAAAAAAATTCAGCCAGCTGTTGTAATTATATAATCGAAACTTCAGTCGGTATCAGATTACCAATGCGATTTCCGTTGAATTGAATTGATAGTTTCCGGCCTATTGAATTAAATTCCTTAATGTTTCTCTGGAAAATTACACTGAAATGACTTGGTTTTTAGACAACACGTAACAGACAGATAAATATATACACTAAATATATAGCTGTACTGAAACACGGCTAAAAAGATGAAGCAACTAAAATGCGTACATCTAGAGTCAAGAAGCTGAAAAATAGCATCAATCAGCGAAATGACGACAAATTTTATATTTGTATTAATCCTATTATATATATATATATTGTGTGCGTGTCTGTACGTTTATATATTGGATCGGATTTCCTACGTTTTTCAACCGATTTCAACAAAGCTTCACAGGACTGCATAAAATTACCTTGCGGTGCTTCTGACAGCGCCCAAAATTGGAAAAACACAATTGTTTTTGCACGAAATCAATTTGAAAATACGATAACATGATTAAGTCGCCAGAATGAAAGGGGGACAACTCATATCGAGTTATACTTATTATAAAACCCAGGTTGTTTGTTTGTGTGTGTTCGTTTATATATGGGATCGGATTTCCTACACTTTTCAACCGACTTCAACAAAACTTCACTTTTTTTTTGGCAGGTAGTGTTTCTTATTGCCTTGCACACTTTTTTCTTTATTTTTACATTCAGAATGCTTTAAAAATTCCATTTACAAGACAATTGTTTATAATAAAATTCTATTCAATCGATAGACTCATAACGATTGAAAACAATGTTTTTGTTTGGGTTTGGCCAATTCGTAAAAAAAAACAAAAAACTAATTAAGACATGCGTGTCCGTCAACCTTAAACAATAATCTTTGTCAATTTTATTTTTCTGTCTTTATGATGGTCGATACTTGATCTATCTCTTACTGTTACATCCCCGGGCAACGCCGGGCTCTACTGCTAGTGAGTTATAAATCATTAATAATTTTTTATACAAAAAATAATTTTAAAAAAAATCACTAAATAGTGATTTTAAGGCTTGTAAACTAATTTGATGTCATTAAAAACACAAAAAAAAAACAAAAACAGTAAACAGTTCATTGTTTTTCCTGAGCATTTTTCAGCAATAAGTGCATCGTCATTTACAGTAGGTCGCAAATGCATCGGTAGATATCATACTATAGTCTCACTCACTCTCTCACACACACACACACACACACGTGTGTGTGTGTGTGTCAAGTATATCAAAGAGGAAAGCTCACCAGAAGAATTTTTTTTTTTTATAAAAAGCAAACGCCAGCTACGTTACGGCGATTGGAAAGTTATTGAAGCCAATGTACCATGTCAGGACCTATAATATTGCAGACTCTTTTGAGCTTTGTCCAGAATGTCAAAATGCATAACTAAACCACCAGACCTCATGTGGCAATTAACTCAGTGGTGAAGAAATGTCATAGGTTACGTTCAAAGCTCTACTCAGGTTGGGTGGGGAAAAGAAACGGAATTGTCATGTGATCAGAAAATTCACCCGATTTCAATTCCTCACCGTCAAGGAGTGTGTTGACAATATTGTCTTGGACTTTACCGAAAGAACAATAGTACTCTTGATAAGATTTGACGCAGGTGATTAACGAAGATTTGAAATGACTAAACTCGACTAAAATGTTCAGAAATCTCCTTGGCGCATTTAAAACTAGGTTGGGTTCCGTTAAGACTTGTGATAAATAAATAAAAAATATGGATAGTTCGCTGATTTTGATGTTACTTGCAAAGAAAGTGTTTCATTCAGACTTTCTTCGGGTTTGATCTCATGAAGAGTTATAGTGGTGATTTTTCTAAGCGTAGCTTATTTGTGACACAACGTCGAAAGTATGGGACACCCAGTGAGGATCAAACTCACTATTCAGTCGTCGTTGATCTAGCGAGACAAGCTTGCTAACCATTAGACCCTATATCTACGGGGCATATAGAAACCTGCGGATGTATACAGGATGCGTCAGATATTTGAGAACATCCCTTGAGTCGGTCTTAGAAGGCGGTCTAACCTACTGTTATACAGTATGCAACAAAGTTTCATTTTACTTCGGACGTATAGAGAATAGTAACATGGTAGTGTAATATTATCGTTGGGCATTACTAAAAAGAACTAAATCTCTCATAAGTAACATTATATTTTATTCAACTTTAGCCAGGTGGATTTTGGGATTTTTTACGAACGTGGATTCTTCATCTCACTAGGACATGGTTGTTTATATATCTACTTTTCATAGGGTTTTTTTTTCCCACGCGTGCACATACTAGGTGCCGCTATATCGACCACTTATTTACATATTGTAGGCAGCCACTGACATCGGGCGGGGCGCGGATCTTCTTCTAGCGGCTAGAAGGATACCTTTTAGGTCAACCCACTGTTGGACGTACTTACTCTGAAGTTCCAGCGTAACATTGAGTATAAACTTCATTTTTGACAAAATTCTGAGGCCAGGTCATATACTATAGTAGTTTCCAATCTGCAAAGGAACAAGCACAGCGACTTGGTGATATTCAAGTTCTTGAAAATGGCCATGTCTTTTGTGTTCAAGATCAGGAACGAACTAGAGACTTCTGGCGGGAATGTGTCATCACTTGCCAAGAGAACGAAATATTCTTAGTGGTTAGATGTAAGGACGGCAGTTTCGTCAAAAGGACCAAGACATTAACAAACACGAAGGTGTTTAGGGCCATTATCGAGCGGCTCAGGGAAGTGGAGCTAGCTCTCAGACGCGTGGTACCTCAGGTTTAGGAGAGAGTAGTTCATGACCAAAAAGATCCGAAAAGTACTGTGTGATAAAATTGGAGCGCTTACTGAACTAGCTGAGGCCGCCCCCAAAAGTCAGGCATTGCGAAAGATTTATTGAAGACTGTCGTCATGAACAACAGAATGAACCATCAAATCTGAGCATGCAGCCGTTTCTGAGGCTGTCCTCAAGGCGAAGTGCGGTTTATTGAATAATCCTTCTTTAAATTTACTTTCGGGCTAATATCCTTATTTTTGTTATGACAACGTTTCCCGTCGTGTGTCCTCCGGTCTTCCTCGGCTGTTGCTCGATCCGAGTAACTATAATGGAATTTATTTAATCTACTCGGGTATATTGTTCTCGCTGCTTAGTCTTGTTCATTTTTGTACAGTTTAGTTATTACTCGACCTGTTTCCACTGAGAAGGGGTGGTAGCACTTGTTAGGGTCCCAGCTATGGGCAAATAGTGAACCCTAAGAAAACCAGGAAAGTATAAAAATACCAGCAGTTCATTTTTATAAAAGAAAATCGTCAACAATATATATTTATTGTAAAGTTACCAACAAAACAGTTTTAAAGCAGAATTATCGACAAAACATTTTTATAGCAAAATGAATATCAGTAGTAAAATTGAAGACATGGCATATATTGTCAAAGAAACTAGAAATAAAAACAATTTGCAAAGATTATTCTTATTTCTTATAGTAAGAAACAAGATTTTACTCATCTTTTGATTTTGTAAGTTTATTTGGGGGGGATGCATCTAAGTAATTATAATTTAACTATGAAATAATGTTCTTCTCTTGAATGAATTATAAGTTGGAATTTTTAGATTTAGATTTCAGCATTAAATAGCACATAGTTGCCGCTAAACTAAAACAACCAACCAACCGTGAAAATAATAAAAATTCCTCGTCACAGAAATTCAGACTTCAGCTATTTTTTAGTTGAACGTGGATACAATTTTTAAAAATTTTACTTTGTATTGAATATCTTTGTTTTTCTTTGTATCTGTTCTCAATTACATGGCGCACACTGTATGCTCCAGTAGTCTTGAAGCGGTTGATTAAGCATAAAAAAAAAGTAAGCTCGTGTTTCTCTTTTTTTTTTTTTTTTTTTTCTCCAAATGATTATAGTTATAGAATAAACTTCTTTTTCTCCTTATGTGTCATATCCTTTTCCGACCCTGGGTAATCATGGTTCTTCCTGTCTATTGTTGCTTTTAGCAGTATTTGCTCATTTACGCGCCTTTCACGTCGTACTTATTCATCCGAGGTTAACGCGCTGTTTTCCTGTGTTTCTCTTGCCTTCTCTATGCCCTGTAAGTATTAAATTTCCCGAGCTTTCCTTCCTTATTATAGTCATTTTCTAATCATAGCTTAGATGTGGCAAAAGGCCGTAAATATGGGGTGCTCAGTGAGAATCGAACTCACTACACAGTCGTAATTGTTCTAGCGAGACAAGCTTGCCGACCATTACACCACGTCGAGGTGTCCCCTTCCTATCAACTGATTGTTAGCAACAGTTTTTGTAGTTCCTATTCTGCTTCGGGGGGATGTGTGAGTAGCGCAATCGTTACCGGCGTTGAAATGAAATCCGCGAGCCGAATTCAAATTCTAACTCCGTCTGTTAGTGTTACATTCACTTTCGCACAAATACCCTTGTCAAAGGCATTAATCCCTATTTTCTCTCAAATATCGATTAAATAGCAGGGTAAAGTGGGTTCTTCGAGCTGTGTGTGGCAAAAGAATGACTTTGAATTCAAAACCATGGAAAAGGCAACAGGAAACCACTCCACTATTTTTTCCCAAGAATTTACGTTAATTCTTAAATAAAAAGGAATGATGAGTCATGATCGTCTTCGTCCTCAAAGTACACTGTATTAAAAAAAATCTGTTTAAAATTTTGTCATATGCCCTGTCCACGTTTTTCTCAACAGTCGTCGGTAAAACTTCAGATTTGTTTGTACATTTGTGACGAAATTTTCTAACATTTGCAGCCATTACATGAAACCTAACATAGTAGTCCAGCGCCATTTTCTTTATTTCTGATCTTATTTTTTCGATCCGAATATTTTAATCTTTTTCTTAAAAGCAGCTTTCGCGATGTGTATGCGCCTTTGAGTTTCTGTGTTACAATTTCTGACTTTTCTTACTACACTATCCAGCTTGTTTACTTTCTTAGCATGAAAGTATTTATAGAAAAGGCACAGGGAAGCTAAATGACGTCAGTGGGAAAATGAGCACCGGACCATATATGGCAGCAATATTAAAAGCATGGACGCATAGTAGACATACAAATATGTGAGATAGATTCAGGAGCTAAAATTTGTCTAGCACGACACAGTGAAACAAATTTCTTAACAACAGATTCATATTAACTGAAAATGTTAGCCAGAGAAAGCGGAACGAATCACACTCATGAAGGTTAGTATCAGCTATGCTGACGGGAAGTAGAAGGGGGTCTTTCAGGTGATTAATAGGGAGAAGTTTTATTTTGGAGGTGTTAAAATTAACAAGCCATTCCTTGCCCCAGTTAAGAACAGGCTGTAGTTCATTTTTGAGGTCAGCTGCCAATTTGACCATATCGAACCGATCCCTTACTTAATAAAGCCTTGACATCTCCTAAAATAAATCCTGCTTTTTCTGTAATCTCATTAATATTCTACCTAAAAATTTGGAGGATTTCACTATGAAATTTAATTTCATCCATGCCCTTTTGAAGCGATCCACTTGGTCATATACGAGGTTTGATCAAAAAGTATCAGGACTTGTGCTATAAATAGAAAATTACAACACATATTAATTCGGCATGTAATCTCCTAGTCCCCTCCTGAAGCCATACACATTATCCAGCATCGTGTCCATTGATGGACGCATTCTTGGAACTCCTTTTTTTCATCCGCTTATCGTCCGGTTCATACGCCCGTTTTTTGTTTTTTGTTTTTTTGGGTTTTTTGTACAATAGTGGTGGTTTATCCCTTGTTTCCTATTTAGGATTGAGTTTCCGGTTCCTTCAAGTCTGTACTTCTGACTTCTCTGAAATTTTATTCAGTAATTTTTTTTCTTCTCTCAATAGGGATAAATAGGTTTGCCTAACGTCCGGTTCACACTCCTCCCCGATCTTCTGAACAGGAGTAAAGGTCCATCCGTTATTTCCGGTCCCTTCTAAAGTTTGCTTCAACTCTCTGTTCCGCCTGAACTCTGAAACTGTATTCACTAATTAAATCTTGACCATTTCAAGTCTAGAATTAGTTGTCTATCTTTCCTGCTATCTTGCCCTTTCTTACATTAATACAACTCCATACAGTAACCCTCTACCTTGAGTGGCCCTTGGTATTGGCTGAACATTAGTATTAAAAAAAAAACCAAAAAAACAGACTGTAAACCGTGCCAATCCTGATGAGGGGTCATGCCCTCAAAGTGGCTCCTTGTATCGAAAGCGCTCCAGGGTCTAAAACTCACCACCGATTTAAATTGAACGCGTATATTCGTAACATCGCAAAATATACTGCAAGATGGTATGCTGGTTCCAAGAAACGCTCCAGAACACACCTAACCCCCGCTGTGTTAAAGAATATAATATCTGAAGAGGACACTGGCAAGTGTTTTAGCAGTGGACAGAAAGTATGACACCGAAATCAAGAGGCGCATTTAGGTAGTAAAGGATGCCTTCCAAAAGCCAAGCAAAGTGTTAAGAAACAGGGAAATTTCGTTAGAAACAAAGAAAAGAGTACTTAACTGTTATATAATATCGATTCTCTTCTATAGTAGTGAATGCTGGACAATTTCCTCACAGATGAAGAAAAGACTTGAAGCAACAAAAATGTCGTTCTACAGAAGGATGCTAAGAATATCATGGACTGAACATGTGAGCAACGACGTAGTTTTAGTGAAAATGCAAATAAAATGGATGCTTATTCTTAACATCAAAAAAAGACAGTTGAAATTTCTAGTGTACATAATAATGGAAAGAGGGTTTGGGAATTTTGTCACTCACTGGACATCTTGATAGTGCCATTTGGCATTAAAAGTATCCTATTGAATGACAATTTGATTCGATGATGTCACTATTTCACAAACAGAGAGAGAGAGATAACATCTTGCGCAATGTGGGACAATACTGTTTCACATCGATTAATGGACGATAAGTTTGAAAATGCTTTTAAAAAGAAATGCCAGAAGGAATACGAACTCTTAATTTGGTAAATGAAGGAAAATTCAACACGGGCCTCCTCTTGAATTTATTATTTATATATCTTCTTCTGAATACTCATTGCAACAGCAAATATAGACAATGTATGGAATCAGATTTAAGTTTTCAGAGAGAATTCTCAAGGAAAAATATTTCTCCTTCTTATTCCTATTTAGTCAACGGCACCACCTTAAAAAAAATTCTAATATGTTTGTAATAACAAGCTTAATCCACCCAGTAATGAAATGACACCATACTTGGATGTTTTTCATTATCATTTTGTATTACATGAAATGCAGGTTCGTTCTACCCTGAGTTTAAAGTTCTTCATATTTTTTTAAAGCTAAAACATCATTCGACCGTAGTTAGGATCATTGAGCCAATGCAAATGATCCTTTCTTTAGCTGTATAGTAATGTGCTACACCAGGGCTATATATAGTTTTGAATTCAGAGTTACTTTCGCCTAGATCGGTTGATAGGCTATTTACACATAGCTGGGAGAAAGAAGAGGATTCGTACCATTCCCGAGGGTATTAGCACGTAAGACTGAAATTCGAACTCGGCTCTCCGATTCCTCAATCCGTGCCACTATCCATTACCCCACCAGTGAGTGAGGTGCTACTAAAACTTCAGCATAACTTAAATCGTAAAATGAGTTTCTTAAAGCAAATAAGGTTCTTTTTATTTATTTATTTATTTATTTATTTATTTAATCTATTTTTTGATGAATTTCAAGACGGGTGTAAAATTATTTACCCTATTTACATTGTTCAGACTGTTGTTCTCATTTTTGTTGCCATATTCACGACGTTTCGGCCGGTATATGCTCTGGCCTTCATGGCCCAGTGGATAAATGCATTGATGGAAGTAATCCAGTGACTTGCCCCAATGAGTTGTTAGTTCACAACAGAGGTGAACAAAACTTAGATTTTAGTTAAAGGGAAATAACTGAAACTATCCGGAAGAGACATGGCACGTGGAACTAGAACAATCTACCTCGCTGGGCAAAATAAAGGACTCGGTTTGAAATTCCAATCACCATACAACGGCCGAAACGTCGTGAATATAGCAAGGAAGATGAGGACAACAGTCCGAACAATGTAAATAGTGTAAATAATTACAATATCTCATCTTAGAAATATAGACAGGTGTAAAATTATTTGGAAAAAACACGGGAAACGATGAGTAACTTAGCAGATGAACAAATCAGAGAATTTAAACAGAATGAGGATTTTTTTTTGTTTTGTTACGGCTTATCAGCTTTTGCAGGTTATTTAAAGCCAGAAAATATTTTTTACATTGTAAGAATTTTTTGAAGATAATAATGATTTACTGATGCATTTCCTAATTAACCCATAGCTGGGAGGAGGAGAAGAGGTGGATTCATAGCTTTCACAAGGGTATTTGCGCGTAAGTGAATGTAACGAACCCAACTGGAATTGGAACTCTGATCTCCAATTTCAAATTCCAAGCCGCTATCCATTACACCACCCGCACATCCAAGCTTACAGCACCCTTTATTCCCAAGCGGTCACTCATCTAGGTACTAACCTGGCTCAACATTGCTTAACTCCAGTGTTCGTACGGGAATCGGTGTTTTAATGTGATATGGTTTTTGAAGGGCATCTTGTGTGCCTGTGTACATTTCGTAAGTGCGTGAGCTATATATGTATCGCTGGTAAGATGAAGATAAAACGCTAAACGATGATCACTTTAGTCTGGCACAGGGTCACTACTATAGGGTACTGCAAGAAGACCGAACTCATAACAATGGTCTGCGATCTCTCTTTCTCTTACTCACACACACACACACACACACACACGTCCCATAATTCTTGCCCTGGTCTCCAGACGACACAAATCTTGGACCCAGTTGGTGTTTTAGCTTGCTCGCAAGTAGTTTTCCGAATCGGGATTGCTGGCCTCTTTTTTTAACTAGAGTTTGGGAGTCGAAGTGAATTTCTTCGCTTCGCTCTCTCTTCCTCCCCAATAGCCCGTCTCTCGCTCCTGCTTTATATATATATATATATATATATATATATATATATATATATATATATATATATATATATATATATGAGAGAGAGTCAAAGTAGGGGTAGACAGCGAGTTTGATGCAACACAGACTTTTCATTTGCCATAATAATTTTTTACGAAGTTTTTCAAACATGAGCTAAATTACAGTCAGTGATCACTGGTGAATGTTTGAAATTTTTACTACTATGTTTAAGAGATTCTACTTATTAGGAAAATCTACGCCTATGCTATAATGTTGAACTAAGAATCTCGAGGTTGAATTTTAGGCCGCAATTTACTGCGATTTCCTCCTTGAAATGGACGGGTTGAGCTTTAGCAATGAACTTTTATACAAAGTTGTTGAAGATAACAACGATACAAAATTGCTAAAAGCCATTAATTTCAAAAGAGATACATTCATTTTTCCATATTGGAAAACAAGACAGCAGCAACCAATAACAAAACGGTTAAAAGAAAAAAAGAAAAAAGTATTTTATTACATGATTAAACCAGCAGATCTTGCGTAAACCCAGAAATGTAAAAAATATTAACTTTTAGCGATGGCTTATC